TAGCTATACTCTACCTTTGACTACAGAAGAAATACTCCTAGTTGTAGGGGGTGTTATTATACAAGCACTTAACAAAGAATGCATGTGGTAAGGGGAGTTAATATTTGGAGAAAATCCTCTCAAGTAGCCTTTGGAAAAATGGCTTAAAAAATAATCCTTGGTAAAGGATGAATTTGCAGAATCATTTTGGTATGCATGGCAGGGCTACAGCTGTACAGCTCTGGCTCCTCTCACATCACTGGATTCCACTTGAGAACTATTCTTGAAATAGTGGGACCAACTGATGACTCTGCAAGGGGAGATAGCCATGGGCTAAAGAGGGTGCCTGCTGGTGTAGTCATATAACAGCTCAGGGGTGCAAATACATACAGGAAATGTAGAATATTAAATGCTAGAACGAGCTGAAGAAAACATCTAGTCCAACTTTCCTTTAAGTACTCCCCAACCCCTCAACAAAGAAATCACAGATAAGGCCATTGGGAACTAGAAGAGTGATTTGATTAGTCCTGGGCCATGAATGAGTTGGAATAAAGATTCCAACTGGATGTTGTTTAATCTGTTTAACTCTAGTCCCACCTCATTACTGATGGTGGGTATACTTCAGAAGAAAAAACACACCCAACATAGATACCTTCATTTAAACTAGAATTATAAGAATAAGAGTGATCACAAGAGTAATATGCTTCCAAAAATCTGAGTAAAATAGTGTACTTGTTGTTACTTTAGAGGACAAAGCTGAGACCACTATTAGTAAGTAGTGTTTTCTGGATTCCCAGTGGACTCTGACTCTATGGGAACCTCTTTTCTTCTCTGTTTATGAGTCTATTTCTGTTTTGCTGGTTTGTTCACTTATTTGTGTTTTTCAGATTCCACATGTAAGTGACACCATATGATACTCATCTTTCTCTAACTTTTTTTACTTAGCAAAATACCTTCTAGGCCTATCCACATTGTTGCAAATGGCAAGATTTCTTTCTTTTTCACAGCTGAAAAACATTCCATTGTGTATGTGTACCACATCTCCTTTATCCATTCATCTATCAATGGGCACTCAGTTGCTTCCATATCTTGGCTATTGTAAACAATGCTCCCAAAAACATAGGGGTGCATATATCTTTTCCAGTTCATGATTTTGTTTTCTTCAGATTAGATTCCCAGAGATGGAATTGCCAGGTCATATGGTATTCTATTATTACTTTTTTGAGAAACCTCCATACTGCTTTCCACAGTGGCTGCACCAGTTTGCAATCCCACTAGCAGCGTATGAATGTTCCCTTTTCTCCACATCCTCACCAACTCTTATTATTTGTTCTCTTGTTGATATTAGCATCCTGACTGGTGTGAGCTGACTTCTCACTGCAGCTTTGATTTGCATTTCCCTGATATGAACCTCTCTTCTTAAACTAAATAGTGTTAACTGTATTAACTTGACTTAACTGTAATTTAGGTCCCACAACCTACATGTCTTGCTTTCAACTTCAGGACCTCATGTCTTCAAGGTGATATTTTAATGGAAACTCTTCTTGAAAAGACATGGGTCTGAATGGTACACACTGATATGCCTTTCTATTTTTCTACTTCTGTGTACCTTTTTGTTCTTAATTTTAAAGCACTGTATATCCATCCATTCAAGACTCTGGTTATTTTTGTAGAAAACACAACCCTGTGTCTCAGGATGTACTTAAGTTTAAATATAATTGGAACAGTGGCTTCTAGTGATTTCCTGACCCTGAACGGCCACACCTGACTGTGGAATTTGACATCATGGCTTATCTGCTCAAAAGAAGTAACTCAACCAATTGTAACAGAAATATGAGTTGAATATTAACATCTTAATCCCTCAGTATGATGCCATCATTTGGCCAACTCATTAAATAAAAGAATCACAAGACTCTACAGTAGGTGACAAATGAATTTCACAATAAAATCCAGTGAAAAATTCCTTGATCAAATTTCAACAAGCACAAATTAATTACAAAACCAGAAAGCAAAGGAACCTACCTTTATCTGAAACAACTCTTGGGTAAATGAAAAAACTAAACTGAAATTACAGAATATTTAGAAAAGAATGATTGTGATATGCTTATCAGAACCTATGAGAGTCATGATAAGAAAAAGACAAATTCCAAGCCTTATATTTTCTAATATTAAAATAGAATGAAAATAAATGAAAACACCAATTAAGACATCATAAAATAAAAAAGAAACAAAATGATCAAATAATTAGCAGTTTCATAGAGAAGAAAGGGAAAGAACACTAACATAAGAAATGAGAAATAAACATGGGGACAGAACCACAGACACAGAAGAAATTAAAAGAAGTGCAGAAGTTGGCAAAACATAAAAGTATACAGCAATACAAAGAAATGAACCTGAAGGCTTTTATATATATTTACCAAGGAGGCACACTTATGCTTTTTTAAAGTCTGTATTTAATTGAAAAGTACCCTGAGGCAGTGGCTTGGATTTTGTAAAATAAAACTGAAAATGTAACTTACTCTTTTAGCAAAGCATGGAAGGTCTGGTCTAACAGCACTGAAGCTATACCCTTATTTTGAAATATAATCCAACTTCCAAATGTAATTTTTTCAGAGATTCTGTTGTCCCATTGAGATTTCCCGTTTGAACTGTCCAGTTTAAAATCTATAGTTAAGAGCTGAGGCAATATTTCTCCTACATGGGTTATTTGCAATAGCTTATGACATCTGGGTTAAAATATTAAGTCAATAAAAATAATTTACTGAATCATAATTACTAAAAAATAGTTTCAGTCCAATGAATTAACATTCCATTCCCAATAGGCAAGAAATTCAATATGGCTATTTTCACATTATTTAAAGCACATTTTCGTTCAATTCAAGAATATGTGTATGCAAACAAGATTTCCAAGACGAGAAAATATGTTCACATAGTTATGTAATTTCTCATATTCCCTTTTTCACAATTAAAAAAGGTATCATTCCAACTTGTATGAGTTAGCTATACTCTACCTTTGACTACAGAAGAAATACTCCTAGTTGTAGGGGGTGTTATTATACAAGCACTTAACAAAGAATGCATGTGGTAAGGGGAGTTAACATTTGGAGAAAATCCTCTCAAGTAGCCTTTGGAAAAATGGCTTAAAAAATAATCCTTGGTAAAGGATGAATTTGCAGAATCATTTTGGTATGCATGGCAGGGCTACAGCTGTACAGCTCTGGCTCCTCTCACATCACTGGATTCCACTTGAGAACTATTCTTGAAATAGTGGGACCAACTGATGACTCTGCAAGGGGAGATAGCCATGGGCTAAAGAGGGTGCCTGCTGGTGTAGTCATATAACAGCTCAGGGGTGCAAATACATACAGGAAATGTAGAATATTAAATGCTAGAACGAGCTGAAGAAAACATCTAGTCCAACTTTCCTTTAAGTACTCCCCAATCCCTCAACAAAGAAATCACAGATAAGGCCATTGGGAACTAGAAGAGTGATTTGATTAGTCCTGGGCCATGAATGAGTTGGAATAAAGATTCCAACTGGATGTTGTTTAATCTGTTTAACTCTAGTCCCACCTCATTACTGATGGTGGGTATACTTCAGAAGAAAAAACACACCCAACATAGATACCTTCATTTAAACTAGAATTATAAGAATAAGAGTGATCACAGGAGTAATATGTTTCCAAAAATCTGAGTAAAATAGTGTACTTGTTGTTACTTTAGAGGACAAAGCTGAGACCACTATTAGTAAGTAGTGTTTTCTGGATTCCCAGTGGACTCTGACTCTATGGGAACCTCTTTTCTTCTCTGTTTATGAGTCTATTTCTGTTTTGCTGGTTTGTTCACTTATTTGTGTTTTTCAGATTCCACATGTAAGTGACACCATATGATACTCATCTTTCTCTAACTTTTTTTACTTAGCAAAATACCTTCTAGGCCTATCCACATTGTTGCAAATGGCAAGATTTCTTTCTTTTCCACAGCTGAAAAACATTCCATTGTGTATGTGTACCACATCTCCTTTATCCATTCATCTATCAATGGGCACTCAGTTGCTTCCATATCTTGGCTATTGTAAACAATGCTCCCAAAAACATAGGGGTGCATATATCTTTTCCAGTTCATGATTTTGTTTTCTTCAGATTAGATTCCCAGAGATGGAATTGCCAGGTCATATGGTATTCTATTATTACTTTTTTGAGAAACCTCCATACTGCTTTCCACAGTGGCTGCACCAGTTTGCAATCCCACTAGCAGCGTATGAATGTTCCCTTTTCTCCACATCCTCACCAACTCTTATTATTTGTTCTCTTGTTGATATTAGCATCCTGACTGGTGTGAGCTGACTTCTCACTGCAGCTTTGATTTGCATTTCCCTGATATGAACCTCTCTTCTTAAACTAAATAGTGTTAACTGTATTAACTTGACTTAACTGTAATTTAGGTCCCACAACCTACATGTCTTGCTTTCAACTTCAGGACCTCATGTCTTCAAGGTGATATTTTAATGGAAACTCTTCTTGAAAAGACATGGGTCTGAATGGTACACACTGATATGCCTTTCTATTTTTCTACTTCTGTGTACCTTTTTGTTCTTAATTTTAAAGCACTGTATATCCATCCATTCAAGACTCTGGTTATTTTTGTAGAAAACACAACCCTGTGTCTCAGGATGTACTTAAGTTTAAATATAATTGGAACAGTGGCTTCTAGTGATTTCCTGACCCTGA